CGGAAAGTTTTGCTGGCTCCCGCTGCATCCCTGCAGAGTCGGGAGGGTTTCTAGTATGGGGTGTGCTGGATCTTGCCCCACTCCTAAAGTCTCTTTTTCTTCCCCAAGGGGAAGGAGGCCCTTGTCCAGTTTGCAGAAGGTTGGGTAATGCCCTCCTGGAGTCTCCGGTGGCTCAGGTTGCTTCTCCTGAGAGGAAGGACTTTCTGGTTTGGACGGGGTCTGCTGGGGTTGGAGACAGGCTTCTCCTGGGCTCCCAACTAACCCATGTGTCACTATCAGTGAAGGCAATGGAGAAGTACACACTGCAATGAGTAACATTTTCCTGTTCCAGTTACAGGCTTTTCTGCGGTACTCGTGACAGCAGTATCTGAGCACCTCAGAGACATTCACAGATTTATCCCCATGGCAGCCCCTTGAAGTAAGGAAGAATTGCTATCCCTATTTTATAGATGGGAAACTGAGGCACAGAGAGATGAAATGGCTTGCTCTAGCTCACATTGGAAGTCTATGGCAGAACCAGGAATAGAACAGAAACATATAGTTTTAAATACTTTGGAGACATTTTAGATAGGGACCAAATAAATAGGAGATCTGACTTCTATCTGACTCCAACTCCCGTACCCCTCCTCCCCAAGACCAACCCTCTCAATGACAACCTCTTACTTGTCCACACACACAAACAGAGGAGGCAGGCATCTGTGAAGGAGTAAGTGGATTAGGTAAAGATCTATTTGTGGGCTGTATATGGAAGGTGTTGCCTCTGTTTCACAGCATGAGAGTGAGCACAAAAGACATTGTAGTGAGGCTTCCAGTGTGAACAGAGATGGAGCAGGTTGGCTGACATTATTATTACCTATGGTTTGTATTATGTTAGCACCCAAGGGCCCCAAACAGAACCAGGGTCCCATGGTGATAGCGCTTTACAGACATAACAGTCCCTGTCCCAGAGAGCTGACGACCTCCGTAAAGACAAGACACAATGAGTGAGGGAAACCAACAACGGGCTGGGGGGGAATGGGGGAGGGTATCAGGACAGAGGGTATGTCTAAGCTGCAATCCGCAGTGTGATTGCAGCTTGCGTAGGCATACCTTTAATCTAGCTAGTGCAGCTAAAAATAGCAGTGAAGGGGTGGCAGAGTGGGCTAGCAACATCCGTCCGTCCCAGGGCTCTGGGCAAACTTGTCTAGCCTGTACTGCAGTCGGTGCCACCACCTCTACATTGCTATTTTTAGCTGAGCCAGATAAATTCAAGCTAGTGTGGGTACCGTATGCCCACCCTCCCTGCAACCACCCCTCCCACTGCAATGTAGACCCACACTGAGACCACGTGGTTAGTTACAGGCATAACTTCATGGCGCCCAGTCTTTTAAAACATTTTTTCCTTCAGTATAAATAAATAGCAACAGCCCTCTGCCTACCATTGCCCAGCCCAGCCTGTCACCCACTGGAGGCTTAGAAACACCCCTAGGAATTACCTTCCTTCTCCGACGCAGTTCCCAGTGTACGCTTGGCAGGAAGAGCTCTTTCCCTGCAGGAGTTTTCAGACTCCACGCTGAGCAACGCAGGGTACTTCGTACATGGCTCCCCGAAGAGGCATTTGGGTCAGCACCGCACTGGACATTATGGGCTGCATCACTTTATCGACTGGGATTAGCCCAGTCACAGGGCACTCTGTGACTGGGGCATCCCGCCGCTGGGCTGCCTGCATCAGTGGAATGTGACGTCTCCTGGCAACTGCTGGGGTTCATGCCCTGAGCTGGGCACAACTGGTTCATTCACTCCTTTGGAGTCGCAGGCATTTCATGCCGTTACCAAAGGGAGTAGGGCATTTCTAGGTATAACCAGAGGAGTGTCTGAACTTTCCCAGGGCTGAGGCTCTGAGGAGTGTGTCAGGCGGTGGAAGGAGAGGTTACTAGCCAAATAGGTGGGGGATTCCAAGTGGCACTGGAAAAAGAGGGAGGGTGTTTCCATTGTAAAGAGAAGAGGGGGGATTGTGAGTGTGACTGTGGTTTCTAGCCTCTCAAAGGTGAGGGGGCAGGTTTCTGAGCACTCTAGAAGGTGGATGGAAGAACAGAGTGTGTGACGGGAAAGGCCCATGAGTAACCAGAGAGGTGGCTGGTGAAACCATTCATCTCCTATTGCTGATGCCCTTGGATGTCCCCATTTCCCTGAAACAGTATCACTGGGTTTCATCTGTTCTTTAGTCCAGGTTTCAGTGCTTGGCCTTTGATAACTTTTTAAATTTGTGGTGGTGAGCAACAAGGAACAGGCCTTGGCCTGGGAGATGCTACAGTTCAGTACCCTAGTGTGCATTCCTCCAGGGGTAGTTACCGTTCAGTGGGGTTTTCTAAGTAGTTTGTATAGCTTTTAAAAAGCAGTTCAGTAGTTCAGCCCTGTGAGCATCAGACTCCTTCCACCTGAGTGAGCAGCAGGACTAATTAAAGAAAATATTATCATTATTATTCTTTGTATTACAACAGCACAGAGACAACCGAGGATCAGGGCCTGCTGGTGCTAGGCACTGGACAACCATCAAGTAAAAATACAGTCTCACCCTAGAGAGTTTACAATCTGGGTTTATCATGAGATCAGGCAGGTGGGTGAAAGAGAAAAGGTGTGGGGCATAAAAGCTAACAGTAAGACAAGCCTGGTTTTCCATAGTCTGCTGTATTCTGCATTTATTTACCTAGCTATCAGTTGGCAGTGTTCTGTACGCATCATGACATGGCATCCTATTTGGAAATTATTTGACTGGCATCCTATTTGGAAATTAACGGTTACTATCTCCTTATTGCGGTGATGTTGCAATTGCTCCTCATGTAACTCACTGCACAGGGCATCCGCCAGTGTCCTCCATTTATTTTGGTCTTGTGTGGGTCTGTTCAGGCTTCTGAATGCCACCACCCATTATAAACAACATTTATTCGAACTGTATTTTGGAAAGAAACATTTCAAATTTCATTGATTTCAACCCCCACCCTATTTACTGATGTATCTGTTTTCTCTTCAGTGCCTTTTTTTCCTCCCTAGAGAAGCAACCTTCCTATTCCCTTTAACCACTTTGGCCACCACTCAGGCCCAGATACTCAAAGGTATTTAGATCCTAACTCCCACTGAAATCAATGGGAGATAGACACCATAGGTGGTGGGGATAATAGGCCAGGGGACGGTAAGCCTCCCTTGGCGCAGCTGCCAATCACCTGCTGTCAGCTGCCTGAGCTGTGGTGGCCCCGCCTGTGCTCCGCCTCTTCCTGTCCCTGCTCCGCCCCTTCCCTGAGGTCCCCACCGCCCGCCGCAGACTGGCTGAGTCCCTCCTCTCTTCCACTCCCCTCCCCCAGGTGGCTCCCTCCACCCGCTGCTCACCGCGTCCCTGGGGTGGTGGGGGCCTCGCGGGGGAGGGATGCAGAAGAGGAGGGACACAGTGAGTGGCGGGCAGTGAGGGCTTCGTGGTGGGGAGGAGAGGAGGAACGCTGCGGGTGGTGGGGACCTTGCAGGGGTGGGGGGTGGAGGAGAGGGATGTGGCGAGCACAAATGGTGGGGGCTTCAGGGGAAGCGGGGTGTGGAGGAGAGGAGGGATGCGGCAAGCAGCGGCAGGGGGGGCAGAGCAGGGGCGGGGCCTGGGGCAGAGCAGGGATGCAGTGTGGGTGGGCCATGGGCAGAAGAGACAGGACAGGGAGCTAGCATCCCCCAAGGGAAGCTTCATCCACTGCCCATGACAGACCCCTAAATATGTTTGAGAATCTGGGCCTCGCACCTTTCTCCTCCGCATTCATCCATCTGGGAGCCTTAACTGAACCTGGGTGTTTTCTGTGTTGAGTGATCTCTCCCATTTCCATCTCCACTTAGGTTTTTTTTTAACCTGTCATGTCATCACCTGGGCTGCTTCTAACTCCATTCTTCTTTTACATGGAGTGATTATGGACTTGCAACGAACCTGCTTCCTCTTTACCAGACACCACTCCCCGGCCCTGCATGAGCTAGAGGGAAAGAACAGAGCTGCAGGTCATTCTGGAAGGGGCAGGGACTCAGTTCAGCATCTAGCCATCTGCAATGCCCAATGGCCAGAGAAAAGAACTATCATCTGGGTGTGGAGAACAGAGGGAAAAAGCCAAAGGACTGTGTGAGCTGCAGGCCAGAGACAGCAATCTGGGAACTAGCTGCAGAGGGAGAGCCAGGCAGCGGGCAGCCTGAGAAAGTAATGATCCTGGAAAGCTGAGAGCTAAGCCTAGAAGCAGGTTGTGGCTGATGCAGATGCAGCAGCGGAGGATAGAGAGGACTATAAACAGTCTATAAGCAGAAGGCATGAGCTGTTACAGCACCACCAGCCCTGCCTCACCTACACCTGCCACCGTTGGAGATGGGTGAATAATGGATTTTTCGATTTGCTGGCAATTCCGAAACAAAGAGTCAAAGTGACAATGACTTTTTTTCTTCAAAATTTTTGGAGAATTGAAAAAGTTTCAAGTCAGGTCAAAACAAAATGGCTTATTTTGACCTGACTAACAAAATTTTTTATCTTGATTTTGGGTATCTTGACAAAAGCAAGGGTGGACCACAAAATGCAGAGTGGGGGAAGCTGCAGGTCCTTTTGCCCAGGGTACTCGCTCGGAATGGGAGAGATGCAGGTTCAGTTCTGACTGATGTGAAGAAGGGCATTGCACTTGGGTCTCCCACAGTACAGAAGAGCACATGAGGCTATGCTGGTATAGGCTTCTCTCTGTTGAAGCTATTACACTTTTGATAAATAATTGAGTAGTCATTGAAGCAAAGTCTTGAACTCCCACATCCTAGGTGAGTGCTCTGATTACTAGACTATAGAATCAGTCTCACTCAGGTTCCCTGGCCCAATGATTATTCACTGTCAGTCGCAGACTTCACAGTAACAGCCGTGTTAGTCTGTATTTGCAAAAAGAAAAGGAGTACTTGTGGCACCTTAGAGACTAACCAATTTATTTGAGCATAAGTAGTCGCAGACTATTCACTGAAAAAATACAGCCAGCTCTAGCCAGAGCGTGTCCAAGCCAATGCTAGGAAAAGGGGTGGACCCTGGTTTGGTGAGGGGGAGGAGTGGGTGGGCTGGGGAGTATTACATTTCCCCCATAGCACTGCCTTCAGGGGTGGCAAGAATGCAGACCGGGAGACAGACCCTTCCTTCATGCTTTGCCCCAGGGGCATGCGCAAAGCCCACTTGCCTGAGAGCACCATAAAGAGGAATCTCTGTGAGATCTCTCATAGACATTTCCAACTGAAGAGCCTGCCACCCATGACTTGTAATATGGGACAGGAACAAAATGGCCCCAGCCTTTCCAGACCGCTTCCTCTCATAACAGGAGAAGATTGTAGAGAAGTGTTTAGACTCGTTTGGGAAGAGAGATCTGTAAAAGCATTTAATAAACAAACAGGATGGGTTAAATGCGGTGTGTAGAATGGTCATGAGACTGCAGCTATTGGTGAAGGCTCCCAACCCCTTTCTCCAGGGGGATATGGAGAGGTGTGCGAGTGGGGTCAGGAGTTTATTGTCGGGGACAGTCACTGTCAAACAGAAGGATCTCCTCCTTTCTGTACAGTTCAACCAGCTTCTCCTCTAACTCACCCAGAGTGAGCAGCTCGACTGCATTCTGATCATTTAGAGCAATGACTGCCCAGGACTTCCTGTGATTGTTATCAATCTCACAGCAGGCAGCAGACCACATGTGGCTGGGCTTATTGACTCTGCCTCCAGCTATGTAATTGTTGCCAGGGACCACTCCCACAACAACATATATGGTAGCACACCCTTCAGTCCTACTCATCATTACTTCTTGTTCGTAGTTGTTCCATTTCCCACTATTGAGGTTCATAAACTGTGGCACAATGTTGGTCAGGGTGAAGGTAGCAGCCTTATAGTCAGGGTCAGGTTGGTGCCCATTGGGGTTCAAGTGGCCCCTGTTGAAATTAGTCAGATTCTTGTAATCTCGAAGGACAGCCTGGCTCTCATTAAGCAGTCCCTGGTCAACACCGATATCATTTAAGAGGATCCATTCAGTTGCCATTTCCTTTTGGTAATTTGAACCCATCAGCTTGAAAGTCAAAAAACAAATAAAGGGGTCAGTCATGTGTGCAGCAGAAACAGAGCCAGTGTCTCAGGGCAGGTGCCTTTGGAGGTCTAAAGGAATTGGTAGCACTAGGCAAGAGATCTCCCTAGGGCTCTGTGTTCTTGCTTCTCGGTACCCTGTGGCCAGTGTGTGAACTGGAAGGAAGTTCACTAGCAGCCTCATTCACAGTCATGACTAGTGTGAAAGAGGAGCCACACTTGGAGTAACTTCCTTTCTTCCTGAGGGTTGGATGGTGCCCACAGTAATGTGGCTCAGAGCTAGCCTGACCTGGAGGAGCACAGAAGTCTGCGTTCAGTTTGGGGCAACTCATTCATAGAAAAATGCAAAAAAATGGGAGGGAATTCTGAGATGAGCAATAGATGATCCCACCTCAGTGCTCTACAGGGAGTTGACAACTCCCAAGGTCTCTGCAAAAATGCCCCTTGGGAAGCCACAAATTTGCCAGTTGACTCAACCCTGTCCTTGTGAGCCAGAAACACCCAGGTTAGTATATAATTCCATTTCAGCGTGGAGATTGCATTAGTACAATAACTAAGTACATTTTTGACCACTGTTTTCGTGAGTTCCAATAAGAGTAAATCATAAAAATGCTTTGCATGACCACAGCACCTGTTCCCTGAAGAGCCCAAAGCACTTGACAAAGGTCAATTAACTCTCACAATAACCTTATGAAGTAGATAAGCATTAATATCTCCATTCTATACCGGGTGATGGCAGGGCCCGGACAAGGTGTGACCTGCCCTAGGTTGCACAGCAAGTCAGTAGAAGTGAGGAATAGGACTCAGGAATTCTAGCTCCCAGTGTCCTTCTGTGACTGCACATCTTTGTCACAATGATGTGACCCTGCACTACAGCATGGGGCAGGGAATGCCCAGCTGTGGTGAGGTGTGTGTGTCTGTACATATATTGGGATTTATTCAATATTTCAATTTTTTATGTCCAAGATTGTACCCTATTGTAATGGAGAGGCAGTCAGGAGAGCATCTTACCTGGGGTTCTACCATCCAGCTATTAGGTCGCTTACCATAACCAGGTTGGTACACATACGCAGAGTATATTGGAATGCGGTGGTCCCTGTCGTACAAAGTAGCAAAGCGATACTGATTCTTGTAAAGTTGGCAAATCTGGGCTGGATTGGCAGGTTTGATGGCATCATTTGGGGGGGTTTCCCGGAAGAAAAACTGAGGGCATGTGTTTTCAAAAGATGTCACCACCTCACTGTTCCCCAGCATAGAAAGCTGGAACAGCAGCACCAGCAGCAGCATGGGAACGAGTTAAAGCTAAAGGCTCTTCTGTACCTGGAGAACAAATGTAAACAGAATTTAAGCTTGGTGTAAACATGGTCTCCAAGAGGAGGAGTGAGAGGCTTTAGCCAGGAAACAGCTGTCCTATATGGCCACCACCTTGCCTCAAAAAGTGGAAACTAACAGGGAAGTTAGTGCTGCTCCTTGAGCCGTCAAAGAAGGGGGTTAAAGCACAGAGTTCAGGAGGAAGTCAATGGCACCATCATTTCTGACTGATTCACACTCCTACAACAGGGGCAGGAAGAGGTTGATTGCCTACATAGACGTAACCATATTTCTCCATCTGGCTGGTTAGAAAACCACACTTCTCCCCGATCTCTGTGGCTGCAAATCCCTGTTCCCAAAGGAAAAATACAGGAGATTTCTGCCATTTGAAATATGCAGAGTTTCAGGATCATTTCCCCCAAGGTTATTCTATGTGAGGGGAGGATTTGGCTCAATCATTCACAAAATGATTGGAACAAAGTAGACCTCCCAGCCACCAACCCTACATCTACCTGTCCTTAGCTGTTAGCAGGAGGATATTCTGTTGCTTGGAGAAAACAACCTATACAATCGCCACAACACTGCCAGAAAATCTGGATATTTTATCCTATTTCAGCCATATCTCATGATGTAAGATGAACTGGTCCAAAACTGTTGTTCTTCCAAATTCACTGAGATCTGCAAAACCTCAACCATTGGGGCTGAGCAAGTGCTATTAAAACAAGTAGCCTACTCCCCTGTTTCAGATACCATGATAACCGAAAGCTTTCTGCATCAAGTAATTAGAACAATCATGTTATAATATAATCAAACTATATTTGGATGGCTGCTAATCTATATGAGCTGCTCCCTGCTATCAGCAGCCAGGGAGCTTAGGACATGATCCAAAGCTCACTGTTTTTCCATTGTCTTCAACATCTTCATGGGCTGATTGCACTTGGGTGGAAGGAAGAGTCCCAGAAACAGGTCTCTGTATTAAGTCTCCCTCCCCCGTGTTTGCATTTTTTATCTCAAGAAACGATTGGCTTTAACTGAAACATCTTCCGGTCGGGAACTCATGATTACAAAAGATATAAATAACATAATTTTTCAAAAAGAAACCAACTTACCGAGTGAAAGGTCTGCACACCAACTTGTCATTCAGCTTGATTCTGTTTGCACCACTAAAGTTGTAGGGGATTTTTCAAAAGCTTTTGTTGGAGACTGAGCCTATGAGCCTGAGCCTGTTTATATATGTGTAAGCAGAGTCTGAATGAGCTCTCCCCTGACATCTAGTGGTGAGCTGTGGAAAAAGACTTCAGAAGCTGATCTGGTTTACATGGACACACCCACTCTGCCTAGGTGCTCAGCATGATGGGATTGCTTGCCCAAATGATCACTTGTGGCTGGTGTTGGATCCCCAGTCTCCTTGTTACTGGGGCAGGACTAATAAAAGGTTGTTATCCTTGTTGTGTGAACAGAGGGCAGCAGAACTGTACCTGGTATACCCCTATGGAGGGACTCACCCTCAACTGAATGACACTCGCTAGGCATGGGTTCCAAAGCCTGCTAAGTTGAGAAAGGGTGAGGATAGGTACTTGTATGTAGTGGGATGGGCCTTGTTTAAGGGTTTGAGTTTAGACCTCAAGTCCAAATTTGGGGTTCTGATCTGGAACACTGGCCTGGGCCTATCTGTAACCCACAGAAAAATATCTCCATAGATAATCTTGTCAGAGTTATAAGAAATACCATAAAGTTGATCTGGTATCATCTCTGCCCATATAGGGCTAGATTCTTCCCAGATGAAAGCAGGTGACATATCAATAGGGCAATAAATTATTACCCCCAATTAGCAAAGTGTGGTTTGTACAAATGGGGACCAATAAATCCCAGGACTTTGATTTTAGCATGGCTGTGTGAAGGCTCAGGTTGTTACAACTTGTCTCCATTATACAAAATGTCCTACCATAGCTGTGGCAGCTGCAACAAACTTTGTCAAAGCAACGTGTGAACTGACAGCTGTGTCCAGGTCCTGACCTTCCAGAGGTGCTCACAGGATATGAATTAGAGTTCTTGCAGTTCTTCAGTGACATGATGCTTAGGGTTAGGACAAGCCTATTTTAGGGTCCCAGTAAATGGAAAGACACATCCTTACGGAATAACAATCCCAATAATTATCCTATCATTGCATCTTGCTCTCATCCACCCCTGTTTGAAAACTTCCAAAGGCATAGGTACTGTTTATGTGAGTCAGTCTGCATAAAGCTGTGATGGTTTCAAAGGTCATGTGCCTCAGATCAGTGGGGGAATGAGAGACGATGGCTTATCAGGGCACTGTTCTGGCACAGTTCTGCTCAGAGTCCTATCCAGCACCCCAAGAGTATCAAGGGGATTAGTCTCATTGTCCTAACAGTTGTCCCCAGCTGAGTGGTGTGCCAGCCTGAACCATCAGAGAAAGCATGTCCCACTCTTTTGCAAATCTGAGAAGAGAGGGACACAAGAGAGCCAAATTTGGGGCTCTGTGTGGGTCACGAACATATTCCCAGAGGTGTAGTGTAGCTGGAATGGTCTGAAGCACCACTCTGGCATCTGAAATCCAGAATGGAGCAGTGCCCCAGCACTTCACCTGGCACACAGGTTTGAGACGTCAATTTGGCCCAGCCACCCCCTCTATCATGACTTAGGGTGGCCATTGAGACATCCCCAGAATAATGGATGTTCCAGTACTTCCAAGAATAGCATGGGCCCAATCATGCCTGCAGGACCCTGCCTCCGCCAGCATGACCCCACATGCATGGTATGTGTGAGGTCACGCCACACGGAGGATGCCATTCAAGCACCCCACCCCACCCCTGCCAGTATGAACTTGCATGCACAGTGTGTGCAAGATCATGTAGCACAGAGGATGCACTTTGAAGCACACGCTGCCCTGTCCCCATGAGTGTGACCTTGCACACACACTGCGTGCAAGGTCACACTGGTGAAGGCAGAGCAGCACGCTTTTCAAAATGGCATCTTCAGTGTGTGACACCAGACAAAACCATGTCGGGTTTTATATGAGTACCGGTCAGGGAACAAACGACATAAAAACAGGACTGCCCAGCTTAACACTGGACAGATAGCCTGCCTATTCATGAGAAGGGGGTGGCTGAGCCAAATGTGAGCAAGTAGCATTGTGATCTGCTGCACACCATTGCAACACCACTCAAATGTGGCCTTTGCCATGGGAGTGCGGCACGGCCAATGAGAGCGAGCAGAGCTGGATGGCTGAGATCGGGAGGAGCAGCCCTAGCCCAGGACAGGAACAGAGCACTGAGATGAGGGGACACCAGTGAGAGGCTGTTGGTGAGCTGTGGGGCTTATTGTGGGGAGGCTGCAGGGTGAGCCATTGGGGGTGAGTGAGGGTGGTGCTGGGGGGAATAAGGATTTGGGGGTTGTTGGGTGGGGGCCAGAATGCTGGGGGTCAGTGCGGGGCATTGCGGGCTGCAGTGACAGAAGTATACCAGGGCTGTTGGGATATCTGTGGGGGCTGTGGGGATAAGTGGCGGCTGGTGGAAAAACCATTGTCAACCTGGTCTGATCAGCCAGTTAAACTGTGTGTATGGAGTGGCCCAAATGTAGCTGGAGCATAACCGTGAAGCTTGCCCTTCTTTGAAGTTTGCAGAGAACATTAATGTTTTAAGAACTTTATTTTCACGTTCTGCCAGTGGGCTTTTTGCCTAACTATCTATGCGTTTTGGCTGTGCCTTGCTGCTTAGTTTAAAGTTTGGCATGTAAAAGCTGAGTTATGCATGATTTCTGTTGATACAATGTGTATTTATTACTAGTGTGAGAAGTCTCATAATTGCTGTTGCACAGATTTTCAATAAGATAAAATATGCTGATAAAATGTTAGTTAGATTTTGAGCATGGGTGCTTTATCTTATGGTGACTTCACACACAAGATAGTCTCCAAAATCTATCTCCTGCCAGACAAAATTATCAACTTGAGATCACTACTGCAGGGCTTCTACACTATGAAATGTAGCACTACGTCACTGCATACACCTATGATACTGGACTAAAGTTGGGGTTCTGCTCTCAGCAACTGGTATCTACATACGGACTCACAGACAGCAAAACGTGATGGGCCCTGGCCCTCCATTGTTGGCACCAAGTGGCCCCTCTCAGGAGCTGCTAGCAGATACCGTGCCAAACACAACTTGCAGCAATTCATGAGTGACACTGGCAAAACGCCAGTCGGAGATTGCAGAACTCCCCTGTTGCATTGAAGGACGGTATAGGGAGGATAAACATTTCTTTTTTTTTTTTTTGCAATATCTTTGGGAACTGCCCAGGTGAGCTGGCAGCTGATATAACAATTTTTAACTTGAATATTTATCTTGTGTCTCGTCGTGACATTTATGCAGCAATAGTTCAGTAAATGATCTTATCACAGTTCGGTGGCATTGCACTAAAGCAATCTGTCACAATCTCTGCTGATGGAGGACTTGTAACCTTACTAAAATCTTGTTAGTCCGTTACTCCCATTTAGTAAATAACTTTGTTTCAGATTATACAAAATAGCACAGTAATGTAAAAATACACAAGACAAGGGGAGATAAACCCTGCAGAACTAATTTTAAAACAAAGGAAAAATGTAGCTAACATGGGTACTTACAATCCACATTTAGACACTTAATCACACCCCCATCACTCTAGAAGCTTTCTTTCTTTTGGTTATTAACCTCTCTCAGTATCAGAGGGGTTGGACTACATGATTTCCTGGGGGGAGGGATAGCTCAGTAGTTTGAGCATTGGCCTGCTAAACCCAGGGTTGTGAGCTCAATCCTTGAAGGGGCCTTTTAGGGATCTGGGGCAAAAATTGGGGATTGATCCTGCTTCGAGCAGGGGGTTGGACTAGATGACTTCCTGAGGTCCCTTCCAACCCTGATATTCTATGATTTCTACCTGAAAGACATAGTATTTGATTAGCTGCAATTGCGATTATGGAGTTAATAATTTGAGGGTTTAACTGATAGACCTTGTAGTCACTAAGGTGCTTCCCTCCAGCCCAGCAACATATCCCAGGACATTGGCCAAGTGGTTGGC